ATATATATATGGTTAAAGCTAAAATAATCAGAAGACTAGCTAAAAGTAGGGAAACATGCTAGCTAAAAGAAAAATGTAACAAAAGGCTAGCTAAAAATTAATAAATGGCTAGCTAAAAATAACACCTAACTAAAAGCAATAAAAGGCTAGCTAAAGGGAAAAAAGACTAGCTAAAAGCACATAGCTAAAAGCAATAAAAGGCTAGCTAAAAGTAATACAATGATTGCAAAAAGTAAATAAATGCTGGCTTGAAGTAATAAAAAACTAGCTAACATTAATAACAGATTAGAAAAAGTAATAAAAAGCTTGTTAAAATAACGAAAGGCTGGCTAAAAGTAGCAAAATGTTAGCTAAAAAGTTATCTAAAACTAGCTAAAAGTAATAAAAGGCTAGTTAAAAGCACAACTAATACCTTAGCAAAATGCTAGTAAACTAAAATAACAAGACGATATAATGCTCAGAATAAGAAAGAAAGTGTTTACTAACAGCTTAACGATGTTTTCTTTCTGTAGAAAGTGAAAGCATCTGATGCTCTGAGGTCTCTGACGTCAGCACTTTGTTTATCAAACCAAGCAGAAGCAGAAACAGTTCAGAGGAGAAGAGCTCACCCAGCAGCAGGGAACATGGGCAAGATCTACCAGGTGATGGTTCACGGTCTGAGAGGAGAGAAAATGTTCATCGATCTGTGCAACACTGAGGAGCAGATGCAGAAAATGACGGTCCGTCAGCTGAAGGAGAAAATAGCTGAAAAACTCCCGGAGACAGCAGGTAAAGAAGCAAAGCTGCGGCTGTTTGTTAACCAATACAGCACCTTTATATAACRTTTGTAGACTGGGTTTCAGTTTATTTGTTCACACAAAATCTTAAATGATCAAACAAGCTATTGTGAGTTAAAGTTGCCAGTTGTTAAAGGATAAAAATGAGCATTGCTTTAAATAATGAAGTCACAGTTTTACAGTTTATTAAAAGAACAGATATTTAAAGCACAAATTACACCCAACAATAAAAAGTGAAAGTGTATTTTTGCACAGCACTGCTGTTTTTTACCCAGTTGTTGCTCAGGCTGCCATTAGCTGTTTTAATGAACAATGTTCATAAAATGAAACTCAAATTGATTTAATTTCTGCCACTAATATTGTCTGTGGRTGACTTCAGATAGTATTTAAATACAGTGTTTAGATACAAGGACTCAGTCACTCTCTGAATTTATGACATTGTAGTTTTATAAGTCCAAAGTTTAAAATGAAATAAAAAGATTGATTACTACATTACAGACGCAGAAAACCAAAATTTATTATAACAAGATAGCATTTTTATTAGCCGAGGAGGAGACAAAGCTTTTGTCCTCAATGAAAAAAAATTGTATAGGTCTTCTGGACGGGTTCTTCTCTAATGAAACGTTTCGTCTCTCCTCCAAGAGACAGGCCCTGGAGCAGTGTGGTTATCC